GTATTACAAATATGAGGCATATCATCTTACACTTGCCCCCACTTCTGTTTTTGCTCACCTGAGCCAAAAGCTCAAGTGAGCTTTTCTGATCAAAATTTGTCCACTGTCTGTCGTCTTCCTCATAAACTTTTTCAAATTTTCATCTTCCTCTCAAGAACCACTGGGCCAATTTCAACCAAACTTGACACAGAGTATCCTTGGGTAAAGGGAATTCAAGTTTGTTCAAAAGAAAGGACACACCTGCTTCCAAGGGGAAGTAATTAAGATTTCATAAAAAATAATGGCATCATTTAAAAATCTTCTTCTCAAGAACCACTATGCTTGTAAATATGAAACTTATGTGGAATCATTGTGAGGTAGCGTAGATTCAAATTTGTTCAAATCATGACCCCTGGGGATAGGGTGGGGCCACAATGGGAGATCAAAGTTTTACATAGGAATACATAGGAAAAATCTTTAAAAATCTCCTTCTTGAGAACAGCAAAGCTGTGATTGGTCATATTTATACTTTTCAGTACTGAACTGATTAATTTCCTGCTTTTTCCCAGCCAAAGTGCTCAGGTGAGCGATGTGTCCCAAGGGTCTCTTGCCATTAATTGTTTAATAACTTGAATACTCTTCAGATACCTTCATTAACCTAGTAATTTTTATTCATGCATGATTACAATTTGATAATGCACAGGACAGTGCCTCTTAGGATTATCATAAGTTAATCCTCCTCCCCCACGACCCTACCCAATGTTTCACAAATTTTACAATATCTTGAATACTCAGTAGTGTTTAGATCATTTATCTCTCTATCCATGCATCATAACCAATGACATACTACGTAGGACAGTAGTGTAATTATTGAATTGCATTTCTATGGATTCTTATACTCGGGTGACTTTTAAGGACAATAGGCTTCTTGTTCTGGACGCAATGTATGCCGCAAACATGGTACATATTAGATTGTTCTGTTCAAAAGTTTTATTTTATTTAAAATACATCAGATAATGTATTCAGGTGAAAATTAATGTATTTAATAAGTTCTTTATTATGATTATGCTCATGACCATTTTTTTAACACAGCAATGCATGCACAAATTAATTTCAAACCACTGAATTGTCTTTGAGAATGAATAAAATGTCAGAAAATTTATTGTTGTGTTTTGTACTGTGGATATTTGCATTGAAGGTTCATTGAATATGGTTAATTTTATTGATGATTCTTTATGATTTGAAGAGACTTCATGTACATATCTATCCCAAAATTTGTTAAGTTCCCTGCTCTCTGCACTTCATTATCAAGCTGCTCTTTACATCCTGCAGTGATGATACCACTAGACACAGAAGAAATAATTGGTCTCTCGTCTTCATCATTATTGTCAGCTTCCAGAACAAAGCCTTCTGTTCCATAATTGACATCAACAAAATCTATACCTGTAGGATTTTGAAGTTGTCCTGCATCCCATAAACCACGTGGGGATGATTTTGTTGTTCTCATTCTGTGTGTAGCCCAGGCCTTTTCCCAGATTTTCAGCTTTTCGTTTATTTGTGGAACAAATATATAATGGAGAGCTGCAATATGCAGATTGTCCAGTGGATCTAATATCCCGTTGTCCTCCATGTGATAGAATAATTTGTAAAAAAAAAAAGGAAAGAACACCGGTATAAACGTCTCTCCACAGACGTTCAATTCTCTGATTGTGAACACTTTTACCTGTTAGCATGCTTCCTTTACCTGACCCTCTGTTAGAGATCATGTAATCCGCAATAGCTGAATTTTCCAAACCTTTGTCCGAACGCACTCTAACTGGTAATCCAAAACGAGAAACGCCATCACGAAAGCATTCTAAAAGTGTATCTGCTTTATTATTGTCCAGACATCTCAAGTAAATAACCATACGACTAAAACCATCAATGCCCCCCTGCGATGACTAAATGCCAACGAATTCGTTTATGGTTGGTATCTACATGCCAAAGATGGTTAGGCCCTTTCACATCATACACCCTACGCCTTAAACGACCTTTTCTTCTGTCCTTTACACCCATTGCGTTGACACGATGTAGGCTTTCTCTAAGTCTCCATCGCTGTACATTAACACATTTTTGTTTCAGTATTTGACTTAAAATGTTCTCTCCATTATGCGGAAATCTTTCAGATGCATTCGTTACATGTTCGTCTAGTTCATCATCGCCCATCTCTGAAAAACTTTGTTTTGATATTCCAAATTTTCGCATTCTGCGATATACAGTACTCTCAGATATAGAAAGTAGTCTGGAAATTTCTGTTATAGTAAACCCATCATTAATCAGGTTTTGCATTATACTTCCTGGTATTACAAATTCTGCTGGACCACAACCAGTATGCTCCCGCTCAGGTGTCTGAAAACCGTAGGTGATGCATTCATTTCGGAGTTTAACCATATCCGCTTTGTTGCAAATTCCTAGACATAGCATTTCTTGGGACGACAATAACCCCACAATATCAGGAGAAATATTTTGCTCTTGAAAACCCCCTAAATGGTCTTCCATACCCAATCTTCTCAGATTTTCGTCCATTTCGTCAAAACTAGCCTTTTACTGATATCCAAATGGACATATTTGCAATTTTAGCACAATTTATCTATATGTTACCTGAAAGTGACTAAACAAAACGTATTTGACCATCCTATTATTGTAACAGTGCATGATATATACAAATAACTTACTGTATTGTACGAAAACGGCTTTATGATATATAGTTTTGACAATGTTACATGAGCTTTTGGCTGCATGTTATATGTATAAATGTATGTATTATTTTAATTTGACTGCATAATAAAGCTTCTGTACTACATATTATATAAAGTGGACTTAATGATATACAGAATAGACTACATATTATATAAAGTGGACTTAATATAAAGGATAGACTTAATGTTATAGGCATCAGACTATATAGTATTTTAATTTGACAACATATTATAGCTTCTGTACTACATATTATATAAAGGGGACTTGATGATATAAAGGATAGACTTAATGTTATGTAAAATTGACACTATGATGCATATTTTTTACTACATATTATATAAAGTGGACTTAATGATATAAAGAATAGACTACATAATATATAAAGTGGACTTAATGATATAAATTCTGTACTACATGTTATATAAAGTGGACTTAATGATATAAATTCTGTACTACATGTTATATAAAGTGGACTTAATGCTATAAATTGTGTACTATATGTTATATAAAGTGGACTTAATGATATAGATTCTGTACTACATGTTATATAAAGTGGACTTAATGATATAAATTCCGTACTACATGTTATATAAAGTGGACTTAATGATATAAATTCTGTACTACATGTTATATAAAGTGGACTTAATGCTATAAATTGTGTACTATATGTTATATAAAGTGGACTTAATGATATAAATTCTGTACTACATGTTATATAAAGTGGACTTAATGATATAAATTCCGTACTACATGTTATATAAAGTGGACTTAATGATATAAATTCTGTACTACATGTTATATAAAGTGGACTTAATGCTATAAATTGTGTACTATATGTTATATAAAGTGGACTTAATGATATAAATTCTGTGCTACATGTTATATAAAGTGGACTTAATGATATAAATTCTGTACTACATGTTATATAAAGTGGACTTAATGATATAAATTCTGTACTACATGTTATATAAAGTGGACTTAATGCTATAAATTGTGTACTATATGTTATATAAAGTGGACTTAATGATATAAATTCTGTACTACATGTTATATAAAGTGGACTTAATGATATAAATTCTGTACTACATGTTATATAATGTGGACTTAATGATATAAAGAATAGACTTAATGTTATGTAAAATTGACGCTATGATGCATATTTTGTACCCTTAAGACAGCTATGGCGTTCCATAGTTATGGTCAAAGACTAAAATATAAAATTATAACGCTATAGTATAATATACATGTGCATGTCAATTTCTCTGGAAGTCATTGAGCCCAGGCGTCCGTGGGCGGAGACTTTGGGAATTAACATAGAATTCTTCGTATATTTCAATTTTATAAGCATTTTTGATTTATAATCACATTTTTATTTCACATATCGAAGTAAATATAAAGAATCACTGTCTAGTTTGTTGGATGCATGGCCGTAGGAACCGGGGAAGGGGGGCACGGGGGGGGGGCGTGCCCCCAATAATTTTGCCGATATTTAGAATACTATACAAAACTACTATATGCTTGTGCCCCCCCCCCCACCTCTCAATAATAACGTCTGATGACATTATTTTTTTTGCTTGTCAAGGAATTTAGGTAATTGATAGTGTCCCTCAACTAAAAAGGTATGGTACGTTGTACCCCCTCAAAGTGAAATTGCTTCCTACGGGCCTGGGGTGTACCAGAGACATATAGTTTGAAACGTGGGATAATTTACGCATACCGGGCTTCCTTTATTATATTCAGAATTCCAGATGACATATAAAGGATAAATTTTCCACGTTCTCATACATGTACCATAGATCTTTGTCTCGTGATGATGTAATTTATGTACATATATATCTTAATTGGTAAACATCATGTAACTTAACATACCTGGTATGAGGGTTGTTTGAAAATTTCATTGTTATATTATACTCAAGAAATTCAAGATCAATACATTATCATTCGTATGTATATATATATATATATATATATATATATATATATATATATATATATATATATATATATATATATATATATATATATATATATAACCGATGAGCAACGCGTGAGGATGGGAGACAGGTGGATAAAAACAGATATGTATAGGTCTACTGGGTGACTCTGGTGACCTGAAAAGTGACATATTAATTTGAAGAGCGCAGTCACCAATGGAAGTCCATTTCCCCATGCGTCACTTAGAAAATGCTTATTAAAAAAACGAAGTGATTAAATACATACAACTCTCATACCCAGAAGAGATCAGAAAATGTTTGTCATGTTTATTAGTAAAAACTCACAGATTATCGTCCTTGTAATGAAATTTAACTAGAAAACAGTAATCAATAGAAACCAGAAATGTATAGTCTTGTCAAGTAAAGGGTTTTATCTACCATTTTATACATCATAGTCAAGGCATGCATTTACTTTTCTTGATCACACCTTCTGTGATTTGATCAATTGGATTTACTGATAAAACACTAACAGCTATTGTATTGAATATTATATCAGGTCGAAAATAAACATATCATATACATGCATCCATAAGCTTTCAATTTTTCCTCCTTAAATTTGAAAAATAATTTTAGATGCAAGATTTTAAGTGCTTCCTTCAACTGGAATTTCCAATTTGAATATGCCAATTTCGAATGAATCATAGAGGACCCACATGGTACCATTCTTGCTGTAAGCAAAATCCGTTATCGTATCCTGTCTATTTGTATTGTAAACAGTCTCGACAAATCTCCCTTTTTTATCCAGTAAGTCGATGGACTGTCCATGACCGTAAAGCAAGTCGCAATTATTGTTCATAAGTGGTATTATTCTTCCCACAGGTTCAATGTCTACCTGACATTTTAGGTTGAAAGATTCGTCTACGATGACCAAAGTTTGGGAGTGAGAAAACAAACCTCGATTTGTGAGAATCAAGTCTTCGTTAGTATTTCGATGTACATCATTCATAAAATGGAGAAAGTCTTTTTGAATCTTCCATTGTCGCAGAGGAATACCTGTTTTACTGTATTCGATAAAACGATGAAGAGGAGCTCCGATATAAAAGATATAGTTACCGGCAGGGGTAAGACAAACACTCCAAGGATTAGGTTTATAAGGTAAAGAAATATCAAAAAGTTTACTGAATTCACCGTCTTCATTAGCAGCTACTAATGATCTCCCACTTATAAATACGACTTCGCTGTCATTTGTGATAATGTTACATGACAATAACCAAATGTCATACTTTTTTGGTATACTAAATTCCTTGATAATATCGACTTCATCAAGAAGATACAGCGTGGAGCGCCCTGCGTCTCTATGAAGCGCCGATTCCTCTGATGACATGTTGCGGGGAACCATCAACCAACATTTGTTTTCTGGCGTCGAAGTCATGGAGAAATGAAGGATATCGTTTAATGATACAGGAGATTTGAATTTAATGGCTGTTGATCTGCTCGATGAGTATGTTACGGTGTCTTTTCTACTCGCCCAGTTTTTGGCAATTTTCAAACCTGTTTGTCATTATAATCTATTTTAAAAACTATATGATTGTAAGTTATTTAGCTTTTTATGGCTTTAAATCTAAAATTGAGTAGAAAATATAGGCTGTAAAAAATGAAATTGCTATGGAATTATTTGATGATTTACCTTCTTTTAGTTCTTTCAGTACTGCGGATTTCACATCTATTAGGCCCTCTATAATTTAACATAAGAAATTGAAAGAATTAAAACCGTATTTTATTTGAATTGCTATGATTTTTTTTTACATGCAAAGACAATCATATCTGACAAATTGTTTTTCCCATCTTATATAAGAATGTATTTTGCTTATTTAACTGAGGTGTCAGTTCCTTTTACTAAGTAAATCCTCTGTTTTTTCCATCAAAAAATGCATACTGTTTTGCTCACTAACCCCCTATTACCTATAAACATTTTGATTCTTTGTAGTTTGGATATTTTTCTCAAAATATACGAAGAAAAGTTTAATTCCAGAACATAAGTTTTTATAGAAAAAAAAATGCTATTGACTGTTTATTAAAAAGATTTAAGAAATCGGGTTTCCCCACATATTTTCAATGCATTGTATCTCAAAAATATACCCACTAGCTCATACTTTTCTACTTTGTGTTTTGTTTCAAATAATGAATATATCGAATTAAAGTGTCAAAATTTAAAAAAAGTTGAATGCAAGAATACATTCTTAATAACAGTATACCATTATATTTATGTAGTTTTCTGGCAAACAAAGAGAGATATGTTGTCATATGATGATTACCAAAGTTTGTTTTAGTTTCTTAATACCGTTTTTCACTTTAACAGTTTCATACACATGGATGGTATACTGTATGATTTTCTATGTAAATTAAGCAAGAAGGATAACTTACGAGTAAAGTTGACTTCTAACTTTCTTTGTCTTTCCTGTAATTCCGCATGACTTTCCTCTAAATTGTCTAATCTAACTGAAAATTAAGCAATGGAATGGGTTGCAAATTTCCTTATGAAATAAAAGAAACCAAGACCTCTTGCTGATAAGTGCCTCTGGTTAAAGAATGTATGATTTTTCAAAACGAATTTTTAGAGCAATTCCACAGTGAAACTTTTAAGGGTTCAAAGTTGAAAAACAACATTAATTTTCACTGAATATAGTTCAAAATTATTAATATCACAAAAAATATATAGGTTGCCATCTTTTTGTAGATGTCAGGCAAAAATAAACAGAGGTAAATTTTAGCAGAAAAACTCTCATTTCTGGTAAGCAACCTTATCAAAATAATATAAATCTAGTTTAATTGACATAATTTAACACCTAAGTGTCTTACATATTAACATGACTATCTGCCTTTGTCATTCTGGAAAAGAAGATTTTTTCTAATATATTCCTATGTTAAATTTTGATCGTCCATTGTGGCCTCACCCTACCCCCTGAAGGCCAAGAATGATGTGAACAAACTTGAATCTACACTATGTAATAAAACTTTCTCTTAAGTTTCAACTCTTCTGGTCTGGTGATTCTTAAGAAGATTTTTAAAGATTTTCTCCAAAAACTTTGATTCGCTATTTCCTATTGTGGCCCATCCCTATTCTACCCTAAGCTACAATACCAGAGAATGCTTCCTCATAAGTTTCATCTACTCTGGTCAAGTGGTTCCTAAAAAGACAACTTTTAAAAGATACTATTAATTTTCACTAATTGATAATTATGAAGAAGAAAGCTTGACATATCATGTGAACAAATGGAAATTCCCTTTACTAAAGGATGATTTGTGGTAAGTTTTGTTGAAATTGGCCGAGTGGTTCTTGTAAAGAAAAGTTTACAACAAACAGACAGACATACGGACGGCACACAGAAAGTGATCAGAAAACCTCACTTGAGCCTTTTTTTAAAACTTGAAAGTAACGTCAAGCGTATCGATCGATTTTTGAAGCAAGGCATTGTGATGTACATGTAGGCAACATAGGTTTTACGTTATATATGTGAATAATATATCCAATCAAATGGTATGTTACAATCAGAATTAAATAATTTCTAGGTAAATGTTATCTTTATATAAATTAATTACTAAGATTCCAATATATCTTAAATAAACAGTTGCATTTTAATACATACCTCTTTTCGCATTTACTTCCTCTGTTAGAGAAAAAAATGAAAATAATTATCCTCTTTGCCCACATTTAAGATGATATATAACAATATTTATTTCATCTTAACATGTAAAATAACATGAGTGTGAAAATATTTGAAAATATATATTTACCTTCAACCAGATTAATTCTCTCTGTAATTAAAAACAAAATAAAAAAAAAAAAGAATTTATTCAAACAATATTTTCTTGTCTGATTTTCTGAATTAATTATAAGTAAGTTCTAATTTTCACAAAGAATTTATAATTTTAATATATCGTTCTTACCTCGTTTCACAATAATTTCCCCTACAACAAGAAAATGAAACTTTGATTATATATTATTGTATAATTCATACCTGCCTTACAGTTGTAAGATGACATATAACAATATTTATTTCATCTTGACATGTTACAGAGGTTAAATAACATGAGTGTGAAAATATTTGATAAATATATTTACCTTCAACCAAATTAATTCTCTCTGTAATTAAAAAAAAAAAAAGAATTTATTCAAACAATATTATCTTGTTTGTTTTTCTGAATTAATTATAAGTAAGTTCTAATTTTCACAAAGATATATATAATTTTAATATATTGTTCCTACCTCGTTTCACAATAATTTCCCCTACAACAAGAAAATGAAACTTTGATTATACATTATTGTATAATTCATACTTGCCTTACAGTTTTTATCAGCGTATGTGATAAATTTTTGGCAATGATATAATAATAAAGTAATAATAAAAAGTCAAGTTAACCTGCATTTCTTCGAATTTGGGCCACATATTCCTTGGATTTGGTCGGGTTCAAATCACAGTCATGTAAATGGTCTATTCCTTTTTCATATCTATCGCTACCAGTGACTTCTCTCTCAATCTCCACTACGGATTTCCTTAATTCCATCCAGTAGTCTTTGAATTCTGCGTCATTAACAGTTCCAGAAGTGGAATGACCAGAAACGGAATTTCTTAGAATGCGTATTCTTTCTATGCATGCAGCCAATGAAAAGTCACCCGAAACAGGTTGATTGCCCCAACCAGCTATATGTGTCGGAATATTGCATATATTCCGCAAAATCTTGTACAATAATGATAAATCAAGATCTCTGGATCTTATTTCTGGAACACAACTTGTAGATGAATGTGGAGGATAGAGTAAGTTTTTTTCCTGCACATTCGTTATCTTTTCTAGTTTTGATCTCTTTTTGTCTAACTCTGATCTCAGATCAACTGGTTTTATATGTTGACATAAAATGTCCCTCAAAACGTCACTGCATATCGTCATTAAAAACTGACAAAGACGTGCAAAATTTTCTGTACTTTTGTTTGGGTCAAAGTACAACACTGAGTGGCTTGGTGCATCTTCCATGCTAGGATGTATTTTCTTCATTCACTTTCTTGACTGAATATATATATATATATATATATATATATATATATATATATATATATATATATATAATTAACTACTCTATACAATCGTTCTAAGTAATCTCTGTCTTGTCCTAACTTCTACCTAATAAAAAACGTGAAAAAGTATCATGTTAACAATGAATGGTTTCAGATGGGAATCGATCAAACTGATGAATTTTAAATAAAAGTTATTTGTGTTTTCTTTAACGCTTGTACTTTAATACTTACATTTCGTAGTGCATGCGTACTTTAAAAAAAAAATCTTTCTAACCTTTGTCACTATACATTGATATCTGTGCCTAAAGAAAGGGTAATTAACCAAAACAAAAACGCTAAATAGACATTTTTCCCTTCAGAAAATGAATAACTCTGAGCACTGAGTAAGTACGTAATTAGTTCACAATGGGGCCAATTATCGCCATGTTTAAAATAAACAGTTCTCTTAAGTCTTTATTATGCGATGAAAATGCTATGAATTAACAATACGAAATAAAATAAACCTAATATGAAGTTTTAATTACTTGTATATTGTACAGAGAGAAGCAAATTAATCCAACAACATGAGTACAATATTATATTAGACCAAGACCTACCTTAATCGCATTGCTACTGGATAGGAATGTTTCTAAATTTAGAAAGGGGGAATTTCATCTCAACTATAAAGGTATTTTAGTGCATTTCATATCACTCAAACATTGCTGCAGACATTGCTACCTTTCCCAAATAGGCACACCTAGTAATAGGTGTTGACAGCTTTAATATCAAGCAGATAAATAGCAAACATTGAATTACCGGTATTCAGATGTACAATTATCTTTCATATCTGATTAATCTTTTTTTTCTTTTCCTTATTTCTTTTTTTTGTGATTTTACTATTGAAAAGAAAGTAGATTTTGTTGATATTTGAAGGCCATTAGTTTTTTTCCCTGCATCTCGTTGTGGTAAAGTGTGAATAATTAAACAGAGTATATCTTTTTAGTATTTAAATACTTTGAGTATATTTGGTATGTGTATTAAAATTTTCCTTTAAATAATTTGAATTAATATATTTTACAGAAAATTCATTTCATTTAACTTATTTATATTTCAGCAATTTATCATTTAAGGATTATTTTACGTTTGAAGCTTTTGTATTATTTAGAAATATTTAAGTATTATTAAATATAAGTGTCCCTTATAAAAAGAACTATGAGAGGTCAGTGACCTATGAAGAGACCCGTCGGTGAGATTTCATTGGTCTAGGTTTTGGAGGGAAATCTCTCTGTGGGCAGTGTATTTTTGGGAAGAACTGGTCATACCAGTCTTTGTGTTTAAGGAGACAGGGCGTCTTAGGTGATGTAGGTCAGATTTTCTGAGTTCACTATTTTGGGTGTAATTCGATATCAGGATATCAAGTCTGTTCTTAATATTATCTTCATTGTATGACTGCGATTTTGAATGTGTTTAAAAGTATGTGAAAAGGTGTTTGAATGGTAAATGCAAGTTTGAGAGTTTGTGTATTAGTGTAACTGAGCAATATAAATATTTTATCAGACATTTCACTCTCTTATTATGTTCCCCAAACGAAGTTTGGGAACATATTGTTTTTAATTTCTTTTTTTCAAAATTTCTTCTTCGTTTCTTTTTTATCCGCGAGTGTTCTCGGAAACTACTCATCCGACTGAGTGACTTGAGGTTCGTGGCTGATGGGAGCAACCACTTTCTTCAAAACTTTAAGTATAGTTGATGGGAGCCACTTTTTGAAAATAAATGTAGGAATAAGAGCACCAAAGCCCCATATGTTTACGTTATTTGTTTATTATGGAAAGAAGTATACTGTAGAGTACTGAATAGGCACATGTAGGTGTTACCCGATTGGCTGAATTCAGGTGTGTAATTAATTTCATTTTAAAGTAACACTATCAATGTTTGAAATAAATGATGGAATGAGGGAATTTTACAGAAATTATAGAAATACCAGGGGAAATTATTGGATTGGGGGTTGATATTTTATGCAGAAAGCCATTTACTTTAAGTTGTAAACAACTGCACTTTTGACCTTTAAACGCCAGGGGACCATGTATTTTATTCAGACTTTTTCATAAGACCTTAGAAAAAAGTTTCAAATGATGCCAAGGATTTGCAAACAACTGCATTTTGACCTATAAACGCCAAGGGACCATATATTTTTTCAGGCTTGTTCATAAGCTCTTAGAATAAAGTAAACGATGTCAAGGATTTGTATGAAATTGAATTAGAAAGGTATTGATAGGGTATAAGGTTTGTATGGAGTTCAATGGGAAAATTATTTATACTTTTCCTTATAGAGACCCTAATTTTCACAATGTTAAGTGAATTTTAAGTCACGAAAAGTTAGTTTTAGCTTTTTCTTTGAATATTTAAGACAAACTGAGAGAAAAATTAGCAAAAAAGTGAAGCAGCATTGGGGTTAGGGATGAAGGGGAGATGTGTCCTTTGGAAAAGAGGGGGAAGGGGGGATGTATCATATTTGACCTTACATGTACGGTATAAGCAGAATTTTTAGCGAAGATTTAATTTAGGCATTATTAGCGAGGGTGTTGAGATCACTAAAATTGAATATCGCTAAAAATAAATTGCGTTTCATTTGTAATAGCTTCTGTAGTCGGCACTTAAAAATCGCTAAAAATGATTCTCGCTAAAAATTAACTACCATTATTTAAAGATAAATCGCTAAATTTGCGCCTCCCTTAAATTTCTACTTATACGTGAGATTATATGTGATATTGCTTTTCCATCGTCAACTTTCCTTCTTTATGTAGTAACATTCCACTATCACCTGCTTATGGTGTTTAGGTCTCCCACCTTATTCGCCACTCAAGAGCTAGCTCTGAGTACGATCAATTTTTTAAAGCGAGGCAGGCTACTCACTGATAAGTTTATGTTACAGTGATTTTAACATCCTCGTTTAAAGTTAGCATTTCGTAAATTTTATGGTCGTTATAATGACCTTGTTAGCAATTATAACCTATTATTGGGTCGTATTTTGACTGACTTGTTTCATACCAGTTGTTAGGCCTTTGTTTTTGTACTGAATTGACTACGGATAGTTCGGTCTACCTGATCAATACATAGGGCTCACTGCGGATGTGACTGCTCGGCAGGTGATGTTACTCCTCCTAGGCACCTGATCCTCTGGAATTTCCAGGGGTCCGTGTGTTTTATGCCCTTTTCATATATTTGTATTGTTAATAGATTTTTGAGATCGATCACTGTTCGTTTTTACCTTTTACATGTACCCCACCCTTGGAGAATCTATTTTTTAGAAAAATATTCAGCTATGAAGCAGATATGTAGATATTTCATTTTTTTGAAAACTTGAAAAATATTGGTGTTCCAATGATTTTTTTTTTGCTAAATATGACTAACTGCTCTGATTAATTTTCATTTAAACTCTTTAGATTACCTCATTCTTAAAGCTTCCTCGGCCTTGGGAGATGTTGGCACCTGGGCCGCATTTCCTCTATGTAAGAAGAAGGAGGCTTGCTATCCCCCTGATGTATTTTTGCACATACTTAATCAACAGAAGGGATGAGATAGGAATCAGTTACTGTGGAATGAATAAAATTCGTGGGGGCCAATTTTGTGGATTGCTTAAATTTTACAGGTTCCTGTGGTTGTAATTTCGTGCGTTCTCTTTAATCTACAAAATGACTTTGTAACCATAATTTATTAATTCATGGAGGATGTTAATTCGTGGTAAAGAGGTACCCACAAATTCCACAAACATTAAGCCACCACGAAATCTAATGATTCCATAGTAATATATCAGATTCAATAATCATTTACTTCTTCTAAACATAAAAACATTTGCTAATCATTCTTTTTAAAACCTTTCAATTTTGCATAATTTGCTGTGATTTATCAAGTTTTGGAGCTTTTCTCAAATTCTGGATAGAATCCACCCTTATGAAAAATAGACATAAGTTTGATTAAATATAATTTTATTAAGATAAAAAAAAACCAGAACCATGTCATTAAGTTAATGTTTTATTCAATACAGTCACAATGAAATCCAGATATGCTCACTGGTCTGAAAGTCAATCACTCCCTGGAACTCCACATGCAGCAGGGAAGTGTCATTAATTGAAATAGCACAGTTTCCTAGACATTGAAGTTACAGGCCTCAAATTTCATACATATACACTGGTAGGTATAAGGTCTTTGAAAATTACAAAACTGACTAATTCCGGGATAGGTAAATATGTAAGCGTAGAAATGAGAGTACCAAATCCCCGGATGTTTACATTATTTGGGTTTTTTATGAAAAGTAGTACAGAGTTTATAGAGTTGTAAACAACCGTAATTTTGACCTATAAATGCATTGAGACCATTATTATTATTTTTTATTTTTTTTAAAATCACTTTGAATAAAGTTTCAAACGATGCCAAGGATTTGTATGAAATCCAATTAGTAAACTATTGAGAGGGTATAAGGTTTATATATAATTCTATGGGAAAATAATCAGTAACCTATTCTTTTAAGGACGTCGACACTTGCTACAAACCAATAAAAGGATTATTTGGGGGAGGGGGGGATGATAGAAATATATTCCAAAAACATGAAGAAATTGTAAATTTTAGTCTAAACCATTTTTTTTTTTGAAAATAATAAGCAGAAAATACATACAAGCAAATAGTATGGGAAAATAAAATTAAAAAGATTTTAAAATAAGTTACAACAACTTATACTTATCAGATTCTTTATTATTTTTTTTATTGAATTGACAAACCCATTTTAGATGGAAAGAAAACATAATTGAAGGCAGTTTAAAATAGTGCATGCGGCAATTCCAGTTTGAATATGTCAATTTCGAAAGAAGTGTATTGGATCCATATGGTACCATTATTACTGTAAGCAATGTTTAGTATCCTCTTGCGTGTTTTATATATAGTATCGACAAATTCACCTTCACTGTTTAGTAAGTCAATGGACTTGTAATGGCCATAAAGTAATTCTCCATTTTTGTTGAAAACCGGAGTTATTATCCCATTAGGTTCTATTTCAACCGTGCGTTCGCTTTCAAAAGATTTGTTAAAAATGTACAAATGTTTGGACTTCCAAAACAAGAACTGATCATTTGTGACAATAAAGTCTTGGTTACTATTTTGATAAATACTTAATTGACAAAGATCAGATTTTGTGATTGCAGGTACATCGCAGATTTTCAGGCAATGCCCTTCTTTAGTGTATTCAGAGAAAGTCACAGATGATTTATCTTTAAGTAGATAGTTACCAGAACGCAAATAGCATACATTGCAAGCAGGATAATAAATATTGAACAACTTGCGAAACACGCCGGTCTTCCCAACAGCTACTAGTGATGTTCCAGAAATAAATACAGCCTCATCGTCTTCATTGACTGTTATGTTAGTTGAAAATAATTCAGCTTCATACTCCTCTGGTATCTCAATTTCTTTGCTAACACCGATGTCACTGAGAAGACACAACTGTGCTGATTTAGATAAAAAGAAGGTACTGAAGTTAGGAGCCCATAGCCAACATTTGTTGTCACTTGTGCAATGCATGGATAACATACGGTCTATCTTTAAACCAGATCTGAATTTAATAGTTGTTGTTGTCGATTTGCTCAATGTGTATGGTGAAGTATCTCTTGTAATAGTCTCACCACTAATATTTGCCATGCCTGTAACACAGTACGATATAAATATATTGCTCAACCATAGATATTTTTATAATGATCTTAAATGTCAACAAAATGAATGAAATAAATACTTGCTAAAAAATTGATATTATTGTTTGATGACGTACATTCTTCTTGTTGTAATCTCAGCTCTGTCGCTTTCAGCTCTTTCAGCACGGATGTATCAGATTTAACAGCTCTTAGGTCCTCTGCAATTTCTTAGGAGAAGTACGTAAAAGTAAAAACGATGTATCGCTTTTGTTTTGTTTATTTGATAAGTAATGATAAATGTATTATTTATGCATACAATTGTAAAAGTACATGACATGTTTACCCTGTCTCTTTCTCATATAGTAATTGTAAAAAGGAACCGTATGCGTTAAGTATTTAAAAGTTTCTAGCAAACACAAAATATCTTTCTTATTTAAAATCATTTTAACATATAAAAACGGTTTTCCGATAAACAATTCTATACTTAAAAGGTACTACACTACATGATATGTAGATTAACATTCTTTTTTTCTTGACAAGTAAGGATTACTTACCAGTCAATCTGGCCTTTAAATATACTTTAAACTGCTCATTAGTTTTTTCTAAAGTTGCCTGTCTTTGCTCTAAAATTTCCAATCTAACTAAAATATTACATGGTGAAATTATTAAGTTTTCATTTTGAATTACAACAGCTCTGTCAAAAAGATGGCTGCTCAAATAAATTTTTCTGCCATATGCAATAATCAAATAACGATGATAATGATATAGATTTCATCCTAGGCGATAAAGTCTACTGTAGGAAAAAAACAGAACACAAATTATCATATGCAATATGATAAATCATAGTTTAGACATTTTTATTTAAAGTGCGATAACTTCGTTAATTGTGCATATATTTCAATGCTTTTTTTCTAGTTTTAGTTCATCTTGATCTTATTTCAAAAATTAAAACGCTACTACAGGTAACCTTAAAGTTAGCAAAAGGATTCAAATAACATTCTTGTATACCAGAAAGAGAAAAAAAATCTGAAATAAAACGGATAAACAATAAGAGATCTTCCTTTTATGTACACAGTATAACATTTCTTATGCAAAAATATAATTCAACAGCAAGTGTTATCTGTTAATAAGATTCCATTTCATATCTTGAATACACAATACATGTATATTGCATTTACATACCTTTTTTAGCATTTGCTTCTTCTGTTATATCAATGTGAAAAGAGAGGAAATATACATATTTATATATAACTTCTCACAGTTTAGATGATTTACATACTATCATGTCTTCCTGGTATTTTTTAATCTTGAGGAGTATGGAAAAACATATTTACCTTCAACTAGATCAATTCTCTCTGAAATTAAAGGACAAATAAAAATAAAACTATGAAAGAAGATTATTATTTTGTTTCCTCTCTAATTGATACTTGATGTTCATATGTTCAAAAATGTATGTATATTGTTAAATTCTTACCTCGTTTAATTTTAATTTCTCCTAAAAAGACACAAAAATGTTAATTTGAGTGAATCATTTTGCATCAAAATACTTTTTTGCAGTTTTAATGCATGCAAAGGTAAAACAAAGTGTTGATATTGAAACAATAACAACAAAAACAATGATAATAATGATAATAATATAATAATAACGTGCATATATTTTATACCTGTATTTCTCCGAATTTCAGCTACATATTCCTTTGATTTGGTCGGGTTCAAATCACAGTCATATAAATGGTCTATTCCTCTTTCATATTTATCGCTACCAATGACTTCTCTCTCAATCTCCACTACAGACTTCTTTAACTCTCTCCAGTAATTCTCGAATTCCACATCGTCAACAGCGCCATCGGTAGAGTGACCAGAGATTGAATTTCGTAGAATGCGTATCCTTTCTATGCATGAAGCCAAGGAAAAGTCACCTACACGAGGTTGTTTTCCCCATCCAGCAATATGTGTTGGAATATTGCATATATTCCGCAAAATCTTATACAGTAATGATAAATCCAGATCTCTGGATCTTATTTGTGGAACACAACTTGAAGATGAATGTGGAGGATAGAGTAAGTCTTTTTCCTGTGCATTCGTTATTTTTTCCAATTTTGATCTATTTTTGTCCAACTCTTGTCTGAAATTGACTGGCTTAATGTAATGACTGAGAATATCTCTCATGACATCACCACAAATTGTTACCAAAAGCTGACAGAGACGTGCGAAATTCTCTGTAGATTTCTTAGGGTCAAAGTATAACACTGATGGACTTGGTGCATCTCCCATGATTTTTTGTTTTCTTTGATACACCGATCTCTGAAACATACATTTACATGTTATGTTATCTGTGCATTTCCTATCTAAACCGTGTAAGCATTTTAGAAAAGTTTAATCATTATTTTGTTCGTATAAGAAAGTACATGTAATTATTTGTAAGGAATGCATAACCCTGTGTATTTTTTAATACTGCCACTTATCTCGGTTTAGAACGAAAATTGCCATGTCAAATACTTTACGGGCTTTTCCCGTCAACTGCTACATTTCAGGTATATTTATAATCATTGTAGCATAAAATAAACCAGTATTTAATTACAATTATTTTGTGGAATAACAAAAAAATACTTACAATTAATTAACGAGAATGCAAAAATGTTTGACCCTCACCGAAACTTGTGCAAAATTGATCCCAAATTTAGAAAAGGGGATTTTTATTGCTTTCTGGGTCTATTTTAAAAACGGGAATTTCCATTACTTTCGATCAGCTTAATGGGCCAAACACAAACGTAAGTGCTTTTGAAATCAAAGAACTGAAAGTACTGATGGGAGTTAATTTTAATGATGGTTTCAATAAAATTTAATATTTGTAACCTTGTTCACATCTTTTCAAATTATGTACAATATGAATGCTTCATAATTTGATATGCAAGAATATATTGTTCAAGAAAATGTCACGATTTACAGTCAAAAAGGTAAGCCTTGTTTGGATTGGACCATAACTTTCAAATGTTATGCGGAAACGTGTAGGACTTCTCTGCTCAAATTTTTCCAGTAATTTAAGGTATTTTTCAAGACCAAAACTTTGTTAAAAAGTGCTATAGCAACTTAGCCTTTCGTCAGCATATGATACAAGCTGTGAATTCCACTTCTTTATAAATAATATTTGGAAAAATTATTTTCAAGTCCATGTTTGAACATATAGAAAAATGGTGCTTGTTTTGCTAATTCGCATAGCGGCCACATTGTTTTCATATGGAGATATTTGTTAAATGCATTATGTAAGGGAAAACAGAGATTTAAAAAAAAATCATCAACTCGAAATTATTTTTTCCTCATTTGGTTCTGTCTTTTATTGTGTCCTGGATCGCATTGCAATTTTTTGTATACAAGATGACGAAAAATTGATAGTTCCTTTTGAGTTTGATAATCTAAAACAAAGCTTCATTACAATGATATACATGTTGAAAAAATGTGGCGAAAGAGCTTGCAAGGTCTTTATCAAGAAAATTTATAAATATTTGTCATTTTCTGATTTCCTCCTTATATTGCTTGAAGTTGTGGAACTTGCACTTTCAGTTTCTAAGATACATGTAATAAGGTGTTTTTTAAACTGAAAATCTCATTTTAGACAGAATTAAGAAAAAATGAACAACACTTCCAGTGGGGGAAATCCATCTTTTTTTTTGTGAGGACATATTGAACTTCATTATTGTCATATGATGAGGATATGATCAAATCATTATTTATGTTTCATATAAAAAGATTGATAATTTATTTTTTTCTGAAAAATATCACAAAAATAATGAATATTCATTAGCAATGGTCACGTTGTCACAAATTCACAATAAGGTGTACTAGCAATTAATAACAATATCATGTACTTTGACTGAAGTTAAATCACGACATATACCATACATATTTGTGATGAGAAAATTAATGGTGCAACATGTACGAGGGGTTATCAAAAAGTTAGTGGACTAGAGCCATAAAATTAAAACCTCTTAAGGTTTTGGTTGTTTGTTGTTTAACGTCCCTCTCGAGAGTTTTTCACTGCATGTATGTACATCAATGAATTTTAACACATTTAGTTAGCATCATCTTTTCTATCTATAGAATAAACTATAAAGTCTTAAGTTTTATTTTTTAATAAATTGTTAATGTGTTTGTAAGCAATGGTATGTCAAGGCGGCGCAGGCATGTGGTACTACTAAGTTTTTCCGTAAAATTTGCAATTTTTACCCCATTCATTAAGTTCTATGAAATTTTATCGTAAATTTTAAATGGAGTGTCCAAAACGTTAAGGGCTTGAAAATGATGTCAAAAGCGGAGAGGGGTTTCTTTTTCCAGCATTCTATAAAGTTTTGCACCTGGAAAAAATGGTATCGACATTGAGACTATAAAATGCCCCCCCCCTCCCCCAAAAAAATTGTTTTTAAATGCCCAAAAAGATTCAGAGAGATGAAAGATGCACAGTTAATGTCGATTTGTAGTCAGGGTGTCAAAAGTCAGTCACGACGAAAAGTGACACTGATCATGTGTGGTAGAAATTGAACTCCAACAAGCTAAGTTTTCTGGCATAATCAAGTGAGAATCTTTCCCTATGTAGAGATCCATTTACGATTATACTATATGGATTGAAAGCAGCTGTTCATGACACTGTTAAGTCATATAAACAAGACGGGCTTAAGTCCCTACTAAACTCCAGGTAATCTCATTCAGATAAATGTATGATGTAGAGAGAGCGCACATTGAGAAACAATGACGTTGTAAGACGTCATGAAACTAAACGACGACAGAGCCGAGTGATCATATTATGTCTTCTTTATTTTAGAATAATTTGGCAAATTATCAACGTATCAAGCTAAAATTTCAAACATTTCTTAAACTTTTGTTGTTTATGTTTCTTATAAATTTGGTAAGCACAGACTACATAGTATTAATTTTATCGCATCAGTCCACGCACTTTTTGATAACCCCTCGTACACTGAGAATAAAGATTCTTCTCAGTTAGTGACTTGGAATCACAAGATACATCTTGTAAAAGTGGAAAAGACTTACCAGATTTTCAATTCTATACCAATAGCTTATCATTGATCTTATAATGTCAAAGTATAGGGGAAATCTACCGAATTCAGATAGTACAGCAAAATTAGGTGCATATTTACGTACACCAAGTATTGATTTGCAAAATTTCAGTTTATTACAAAATAATTTGGATTTCACCCTTTCGATATATTGTAACGTCAGGAATGCAACTTTTTTGAAGTAAATGGATTAAAATAATCCCAATTTTCATATGCATACAATTAAAAAGAGTTATTAGAACAGTCAAGAATGCTCATAGTGGTTTTAATGTCTGGATTTAGTGAAATGTTTTTTTTAATTTTACGACATAATTTTAATGCTTTTTTTTAAATTGATATACTTTTGAGCAAAAGAGAGAGAGAGCAGGAGACTGGAATTTTTACACATAGGTATTTGTATTCAGACACACAATATGGCAATGTATCTAAATAGACCTCGTTTGTTTATAAATTAAGCCTTTTAACGTGGCATAATTCATTTTAAATGTAATCAATTTATTTATTTTCTTTTTTTTTTTACTTTAATTTCGCTAGAATTCAAATAGGATTGCAGCGAAATGAAATATGTCAATACAGGTATATTTAAACCACACAGCAACTTATTTGGTCTTTGTTCGCAAAATGTATACAAATCACATGGTTTTGTGTTAGAAGGAAATGGGCTATCTTAACATCCCACCCACCCCAAAAATATTCATTTTGCCAAAAATTTGCGAAAATCTGGATCCACCCAGAATTCTGTTCTTTCAATAGTGAACTAATTATTGAGACAATTAAATGCACAACATTCCCGTAAAAAAATAATAATTAGCAAGCTTTATAAATTACACATTTAATAAATATCAATCATTTGTATTCTATCAATACATGGCAAGGAATACAAGGCGGATGTTACCGGTTGACAGGGTATGTTAAGTCCTCTATGGTACCTGATTCCCCCTCTGATGTTGTTGAAGGTTTGCACCCAATTTGTATCGTTCATATAAAGTTTTTGAGTTTGATAACTTCGTTTTCTTCACATTTCATGAAGTTAAAATTCATTTCAATCTAGGATTCATTTTTTTCAAATGTTTGATTAATATATTCCATTGCCTGTTAAGACAGGTCTCTGAATCAAGATGAAGACTCGCATGAAAAAGGTGAAGATAAAGAACAGTGATCGATCTCAAAAAATTATAAACATACAAATATGTGAAGAGGGTTTAAATCCCTGGAAATTCCACAGTGGGATCAGGTGCCTAGGAGGAGTAAGCATCTCCTGTTGACCAGTCACACCAGCCGTGAGCCCTACGCATAGTTTAGGTAGACGGAACATTCCGTAATCAAAGTCAATATAAAAACAAAGGCCTAACAATTGGTATGAGCACACGTCAGCCAATATATGACCCAATATCAGGTTAAATTTGCTACAAGGTCATCATAACGACAATAGAATTTACAAAATGCTGACCTATGCAGAACCACAATGAAAACTAGCTTTTTGCAAATTGTGTAATCCTGGGTAAATAAAGGTTATTATTACTTTAAACGAAGTTGTTGACATCTCTGTAACATCAACTTATCTGTTATTAGCCTGTCTCGGTTGGAAAATTGATCGCACTAGAAGCTTGCTCCTGAGTATCGAATTAGTTGGGAGATGTAAACAACATATGCTGGTGATAGAGGAATATTAATTACTGCATAAATAAGGAAACTTGACGATGGAAAAGTTGAAGTCATCTCGTTTGTCATACAATCTTGTTGTTAGCTTGCCTTTATCGTCTATAGTCAGTTAAACATCCAAATATGAAATAGATGTGGTAGACTCTGTCGTGTCTTTTATTTCAAGTTCACTTGGATATATGGACTCAACATATGATTGAAAGTAGCTATTGTAAATAGATAATATGTCGTCGATGCATAGGTGAAGTCTACAGAAATGTTTTCTTTTTTATGTAGATGTTGTTGAATAAATCTGCTTCATAGGAAAATAGAAACAGGTCGGCTATTAAAGGATGAAAGACCAAGGAAACAACATACGAAACTTTGAACCCAATCTAATCAAGTAAAATTTTACTTTTCCCCCATCTGATCGCAACTGACATTGGTCTTTGTGATATGACCTTACCCAGGAGCATGTTACATCCCAAGGTCATATGGAACGACGCATATCATTTGTGTTTTGTAAACAATTTTCACAGATCTTTCTCTAGCATCCAGTAATTCGATGGATCGCACATGTCCATAAAG